CCCCGCCTTCACTACCCCAATGGCGGCTGCTCAGGCGACCGTCTCGCATATCACCAACCGTGACACAACAACAGACACCACCCCCACCTTTACCGACTGCAGCGATGAGGATCAGGAATACACCTGCCCTCACTGCAGTTCTGTGGTGAGGTACCTGACTAATTTACCTTTGACAATTTAGTCCCATTTCCTTTGACCGCATTGCTTGTTTGAATGTGACGAGAAACGACACACCTGTACAACCCGCCTTGCTAGCGTGTTCTGCTGTGGTATTATGTTGTCAGTTTTTCTTAACGTTCAAAAATCTCTATATTATTCACTGCTCCGATTTACTTGCTGCATTTAAGGCTAGGGGCTCGTGAGATATAACTCGTTATTTCGTGAGAACATTACGATTTACGACATTGGTGACTCCCGACGTTTACGCATACTTTATAGCTTTCTGTCATACTGGATAACATTTAACGTACTATTTGCTTGTGAATATCTATTCCATTTACATTTACTTTCCTCACGAATTCTGATATTTTGACATCTCTGTCATATTATGTCTCACTCCGATCAAAAACTTGATGCCCCCGCCCAGTCCCTTCATGCAATCAATTTTACTTTGCCTGAATTATGGCAACACGCTCCAGAACTTTACTTCATCCGCATAGAATCAGTCTTTTATTCTGCCAACGTTACAAAGGAGCTAGCAAAATACCACAAACTCGTGGAGGTCCGCCCGCTAGTGTCATCTCTCAAGTTCAGTCCTTGCTAGCTAATCCTCCTGCAGATGCTCCCTACTCCGCGTTAAAGGCAGAAATCCTCCGACTTAATTCTGTGTCTGACCGACAGAGGTATCACCAGTTAATAAAGGAGGAGTCACTGGGTGACCGGAAGCCCTCAGAGCTTCTACGTCGGATGCGTTGTCTCCTTGGAGACATGCAAGTTGATGATAAATTTGTCAAGGAGATGTTCCTGGAGCGCCTGCCCACAGATGTTCAAACGATCCTGGCGTCCGGCTCTCAGGATCTCACAGTGTCACAGTTGGCTGAGATGGCGGATCGAATGATAGAGGTGAAACGATTCCAGTCACCTTCCGTTGCCCAGATCTCCTCCTCATCGTCAGTGAATGAGCATTTACTAAAACAGGTGTCGGCCATGGTAGATGAGATGGCCTCTCTTAAAATACAGCTCGCCCGCCTAACTTCCAGTCGCTCACGCAGTCGTCGTCGTTCTCGTTCGCGACCTCAGACTGCTGATACTTGCTGGTACCACACTAATTTCGGCGTAAAGGCCCGTCGCTGTTCCTCACCTTGCTCTTTTAAGCCAAAACAGGGAAACCAGTCAGCCAGAGAATAGATGCGACCGTTTTCTCTGGCTCCTCCGGCTCTGGTCGCACCTTCTATGTTTGCGACACTGCGACTCGCAGACGTTTTCTGGTGGACACCGGAGCCCAGATCAGCGTGGTTCCCCCCACTCCAGTTGACCGCCACTGTCCCAGCCCTGGTCTACATCTCCAAGCTGCAAACTGTTCCCCCATTTCCACTTTTGGTGCCGTTCCCTAACGCTAAACATTGGTTTACGTCGATCATTCTCCTGGATATTTGTGACTGCCGAAGTGCCTCATGCGATCCTTATTTCCGATTTCCTAGCCGAGTTTGATCTCCTTGTTGACTGTCGGCGTTCCTGTCTCCTCGACCGCACAACTGGTCTTTCTGTCCGCGGTCTTACACTCTTTAATGACTCCTGCAATTTATCTGTTCTGGGCGCAGGTATTGCTTGCCCATACCGATACCTGCTCTTCCAACGCCCCAACATAATCAAACCCTAGTTTCGCAGTAGTGAGATCCAGCATGACGTTGTCCACCACATTCGCACCTCTGGCCCCCCCAGTATTCGCACGGCCTAGACGACTGGCTCCGTCCCGTCTGCAAGCGGCGAAGGCCGAGTTTGAACATATGCTGCAACTGGGAATAATTCGGCCGTCCGAGAGTCCATGGGCGTCCCTTCTGCATATGGTGCCCAAGGCGACATCAGACGACTGGCGGCCCTGTGGTGACTATCGCGCCCTCAACAATGCGACCATCCCGGATCGTTATCCCGTCCCTCATCTTCAAGATTTTGCTGGAGCTCTTTTTGGCAAATCGGTTTTCTCGAAGATTGACCTTGTTCGGGCCTTCCATCAGATTCCTGTCGCTCCTGAGGATGTTCCCAAAACTGCCGTCACCACACCATTCGGCCTGTTCGAATTTATTCGCATGCCATTTGGTCTTCGCACTGCTGCCCAAACATTTCAGAGGTTCATTGACCGAGTCCTACGTGGTCTCTCGTTTGTGTACGCCTACATAGATGACCTCTTGGTAGCCAGTCGAAATGCTGAGGAACACAAAGAGCATCTTGCCTTAGTGTTTGACCGCCTCGATCAGTTTGGCGTGGTCATTAACCCTTCGAAGTGTGTTCTGGGTGGGCCGTCCCTTGATTTTCTTGGTCACCATGTCGATGCACAAGGTTTGCGTCCCCTCTCTTCCAAGGTTGAGGCCATTCGTGACTTTCCTCCACCAACCTCCAAGCGTCAGCAGCAACGTTTCCTTGGCATGGTAAACTTTTACCGCCGGTTCCTACCGAACTGTGCCGACCTTATGCTGCCACTCACCAACTTGCTCTCTGGTCCCAAGGGTCCCCTTGAGTTACGTGGCCACGCGCTGACTGCATTTGAGAGACTAAAGACCTCCCTTGCTGATGCTACCTTGCTCACTCATCCTGCTCCAGAAGCCCCATTGTCCCTGATGGTTGATGCTTCGACCGTTGCCGTAGGAGAAGTCCTCCAACAGCATATCAACAACTCGACACGACCGTTCTTGCCATTTACCTAGCCGTAAAACATTTCCGACACTTCCTTGAGGGTCGTGACTTCACCATTTTCACAGACCACAAACCACTTACATTTGCCATCCGATCCCATTCTGACAAATATAGCCCGAGAGAGATTTCTCATTTGGATTACATCTCGCAATTCACCACCGACATCCGCCACATTGATGGCCCGAAGAATGAGGTGGCTGATATGCTGTCCAGACCCTCACTGTCCTCCCTCCAACTCTCACACGGGATCGATCTTTGTGCCATGGCGGCTGAGCAGCAGCGAGTCGGTTGTCCTCGCGACGAGTCTGTTAGTGGTCTCCAACTCAAAGACGTTCCTCTGACCACCGGCTCTGGTACCATACTTTGTGACGTCTCAACTCCCTTTCATCGCCCTTTTGTGCCCGCCTCGATGCGTCGAGCTGTATTTCAAACTCTGCATGGACTCTCCCACCCTGGGATCCGAGCCTCTCAAAAGCTCCTCGCGGAAAGGTTTGTCTGGCCTGGCATGAACAAGGACGTCAAAGTTTGGGCCCGGTCGTGTCTGAGCTGCCAGCGCAACAAGGTGCAGCGTCACAACAAGTCCCCACCAGGCACTTTTCCCAGTCCCGACGCACGGTTCAGCCATGTGCCCCCGGATGTCGTAGGCCCCTTGCCTCCAACCAATGGTTTCGCCTACCTCCTTACCTGTGTCGATCGATATACTCGCTGGGCTGAAGCTATTCCTTTGCCGAATGTTCAGGCTAAAACCATCGTGAAGGCCTTCGTCAGTCGTTGGGTCGCCATGTTCGGAGCCCCATCCACGGTTACGACTGATCGTGGTGCCCAGTTTGAGTCGGCACTCTTCCAAACGCTACTCAATTTCCTTGGCTGCACACGCATTCGGACGACAGCCTACCACCCCGCTGCCAACGGTATGGTGGAACGTTTCCATCGCCAGCTTAAGACCGCCCTGCGTGCCGTAGACGACCCAGGAAACTGGTCGGACAAGCTTCCTCTTGCACTCCTCGGCATCGGCGCAGCTCTGAAGTCGGATCTGGGCTGTAGCGCAGCTGAATTGGTTTTCGGCACTAGCCTCCGACTGCCAGGCGAGATGATCACCCCAACCTCTCGTGGAGCCGACGAGACTCCTGACAATCTTGTGCACCGTTTGCGGCAATTTATGCGCTCGCTTTCCCCGGTTCCACCTCGAGCTCCAATGACTGAGTCTTATGTCGAAAAAGACTTGGATAGCTGTACTCATGTGTTCGTCCGGTGTGACCGTGTGCGCCAGCCGCTGGAATCACCATATGAAGGACCGTTCCGCGTGCTCGCGCGCAACACCAGGACCTGCCGAATTCTTCGCGATGACAAGGAGGACGTGATCAGTGTCGAGCAAGTCAAGGCTGCTGTTGCAGAGGAGCCGCCGGACCTGTCACAAGGACAAAAATGTGCTGACCCCCTAACCCCTGTTCCTCCATCTTCCTTATCCCCTGCTCATTCGCCATGCCTACTGCCTCGTCCTTTCTCTCCCTTGCCCTCTACCCCTCTGTCCCGCATACTTCCTCTCCCTATATGTCTACAGCATCCAACTGCAACATCATCCTCCACCACAGCACGCAGTCAACCCTATTCGACTGTATCTCCTGCTTACATCAATCGCAGTGGCAGTCACGTTCATTTTCCCGATCGTTTAGTTAAACACTTTTTCTAGATTTATGCATATTCTCTGGTGCCGTATTACGTCGCCATTCGGTCTTGTAGGGGGGTACTGTGGTGAGGTACCGGACTAATTTAACCTTGACAATTTAGTCTAGTTTTCTTTGCCGAGATTGTTTGTTTGAATGCGACGGAAAGGAAGCACCTATACAACACGCCTTTCTAGCGTGCTTCGCCGTCGAGCTCAGTTGTCAAGTCTTTTTAAAGATACAAATCTTTATATTATTCACTGCTCAGTTTTACTTGCTACATCTAAGGCTAGGGGCTCGAGAGATATAACTGGATAGTTCGTTAGAGCATTACAATCTACGACAAACTTCTAATCGCGCGTATTCACAACCATTGCTCACTAACTTCTCTTCGCGGACGACTGCGACCTGAACACCACCTCGGAAGAGGAGATGTAACGGAGCATGGACCTCGTTTCTGCCGCCTGCGAGAACTTCGGTCTGGTCATTAACACGCAGAAGACGGTGGTGATACACCAACCGCCACCCAAATCAGCCACAGCCCCTAACGCGCCCCCGCAAATCAGCGTGAATGGGACCCAACTGCACGTGGTGGAGAACTTCCCGTACCTGGGCAGTACCCTCTCCCGCAACACCAAAATCGATGACGAAGTTGCCAACAGGATGTTGAAAGCCAGCCGAGCCTTCGGTCGCCTCCAAAGCACCGTTCGGAATCGTCACGGTCTTCAACTGAGCACGAAGCTGAAGATGTACAAGGTCGTCGTCCTGCCGACGCTACTGTATGGAGCGGAGACTTGGACGGTGTACACAAAACAGGAACGCCGTCTGAATCGCTTTCACCTCAGTTGTCTTCGTCGCATCCTGAGGCTGAACTGGCAGGATCAAATCCCCGACACTGATGTGCTGGAACGAACGGGAATGCTCAGCATCTACTCCATGCTGAGACAAATGCAGTTGCGCTGGAGCAGCCACCTGGTGCACATGGACGACGAGCCACTACCCAAACTACGCTTCTACTGAGACGTCGCAACGGGTTCTCGTCGTCAAGGAGGCCAAATTCGCCGTTACAAGGACACCCTGAAGTCCTCCCTGAAGCGTCTGCAAATCAACCCAACCAGCTGGGAAGAGCTTGCCTGCGATCTTTCGATATGGAGGAGAACAGTGAAGACAGGCGCTGCTATCCACGAAGCCAACCGCATCGCCGCCGCCAAAGCGAAACGCGAAGCCCGCAAATCACAACTTCGCCCAGTACGCAACGCCGCCGCATAACCGCTTCAAATGTGTCTTTGGTGTCAACGGACATTCGGGGCTCAAATCAGACTTGTTGGACATCTTCGGATAAACTGTACCTTTTGAACTGCACCAACCATCATCCCTCCGCCCGCCTCTTCCTCGTCCTCTCTGCCGCCAACTAACTCTGACACTCCTTCTGCACCACCACTTCCATTCTACTCCTCCTC